GCACTCAGGAGGCAGAGCCAGGCGGATCTCTGTGAGTTCGAGGCCAGCCTGGTCTTCAAAGCGAGTTCCAGGAAAGGCGCAAAGCTACACAGAGAAACCCTGTCTCGAAAAACCAAAAAAAAAAAAAAAAAAAAAAAAAAAAAATAGTTCAAAAAAAAAAAAAAAACTTTAAATATCACTATTCATGGTTCTGGTTTTGCTGTCCATTATCCAGTTGAGAAGCTTTAAAAACAACAACATTTAATTTAGTGTCATGAAAAGTTACAGAATACAATAGAAACTTCAGAAGAATTATTTTTTCCATAATTATTATTTTGTATTTGGTCTCTGATTCTATATCATGTAATATCAGTGTTGTCCATGAGGACCATGATATCTGAAAGAATCCACAAATTTATTTAGTAGCTATATAATCTTGCTACTTCACCAACTAGTTTATTAAAATGAAATTTTGAAAAATAAAGGATTATTATTTTTGATGGTCTTGTTGTCACGATGATTGTAAGATACTAGAATATAAAATATTCACAGAGAATTCATAATATCAATATAATTTGATCATGCTGATGAAACTAACATCTTGTTTGAACAAATGTTTTTAGAGTGTATTTAATCTGGTACTCTTGATTGGGAATCACAAGAAATTGCCCCAAATGGGTCAAAGACAAGAAGAGGATGCACTGACAAACTAAAATGTCAATGAAAATGTGGATTTAATGTTCTTTTATGAGATTTGTGGGTTTGTTACTTGCTTATTTGTATGTTGGTCTAGAAATGTGTGGACAATTTAAATACCTCTCTTCTTGTTAGTCTTGATTATCTTGGACCTTTTTGCTTGTGCATTGCCGACTAAAGCTTAAAATTCCATCTCTTTGGGTTGAAGCTTGGAGTTAAACTTTTGTGGGAAGAGATGTCCTCTTCAATATTTCCCCCAAAATCAATGCTGTGTCAGGGAAAGTATCTTTCATTGGTTTGTCCTAGTTGTCACCAGCCTATATTAGGAATACCTGAACAGTGTTCTGTGTCCAAAATTTATACATATAGATGCCAATTCAATTTAGACCAAATAAAGACAGGAAAGATTTTTATGATTTAAGTTAGGAGACATTGAAAGAGGGACCTTATACTTGCTAGAAAAGTGTTTAACCACTGAGTTTCATATATATTCCTGCTTTTTTGACATTGTTTTCAGACAAGGCCTAATTAAAATTTTCAGGCTGTCCTTCAACTCAACTTGTATCCTAAGTAGGTCTTACACTCCTGATCCATCTGCTACAGCCTCCTGAGTAGCACAGATATTAGCCTTGTTACACCATATTCAATCAGGACCAAGTTACTTAAAGAAAATAAAATTGTAGGCAAAAGACTAACTTTCTCTGGAGATATAGACTCTATGATTCTGATTGTTTTATCTTCAGAAATGAAAGTTATTAAATAATAACACCATCTAATCCAAGTTTGGTGGCAAACACCTTTATCCTAGAATCCTGGGAAGCACAGGCAGGCAGATACATCTCTGTGAGTCCAAGTAATAAGTTCCAGGCCAGCCAGTAAGACCCTGACCCTAAAACACAAAACACTAACAACAATACATAAACAGGCTATTGGGTCTTAAAATCTTTTCTGTTATTGGATGGCTTGAGAGATATTTATTTTCCCAAATACAAGTGAAATAAGAAAAATAATTGTTTTTGTTCTTTCCTTTTTAATGAGAAAAATATCCCATATCTGCTCAGACTGGTATTTTCCCTCATTTCTTGCTTTTGCCTCTTAGATTGGAATAATTTTGATCCTGTAGAACAGTAAGTTCTTAAAATACATTTCCCAGTACATGGTTCTGCACAAGGGTTCTACTGCTTGCTTTTTTACACCATTGCTGTTTAATTTTACAGATTTCCATTTCTGTGAAAAATGTAACATCTATATTAGAAACACCATTCTGAGACACACTTAAGGATTCCTTGTAGTCAGTATTTCACTGAAGCCGCACATGATTATAATGTACAGAGATTCTTCTAGGAGGTCTAGTTTGAAAGGATAATTTTCTGAAAGTAACTTGAAGACTTCTTATGAAATACCCATAAGAATAGAAGAAATGGGGCAGAGTAAACAAGGTAGGAGAATAGACTCAGTACAGAATGAAGCAGCATTCAAACTCTGCTTCAGTTAACTAAATGAGGTCTGGAAATAATTAAGTAACACACCATACTGCCCTGTAGTCACAGACACAGCAGTTGTTGTATCTATACCCAAAATATAGTGAGTGGTGAATTAAGAACTCTTTTTAAGGACATGAACGGTTCTACATTCCTCAACAGCTATCGTTGGCTAAAGCAGTTTGGCATCAGTTGACAAGAAAGTGCTATAACTATTGGTGACAAGATACATGAGGATCTGTGGGGCATAATACTAGAAAGAGTAGGAGTGGAGAACTGATGGACAGACACCTGATGCTTTTCTGCTACACTGCACCTATTGGAAAACTGCATCTGTACAATCTGTCTTTTCTACCATTGGAGAACTCTTACTCAATGAAAATCTAATATAGTCGCCAAGTTCTTTGTCCTTAGGAGAGTCAGGATAGTTGGAATTAGTTGAGCTTGTTATGTTCGACACCACATAGGTGTCATAGGATAGTAGGACCACTGCAAATAGGGATCCACTTTTTGAAATCATAGATATTTAGGTTGCAATGTGAGGTTACAGTGATACAAGTATTTCTGTGAAATTAAAGATAGCATAAGCAACATAGATAAATAACACCCTACCTCTGCCTGGTAGCTATAAGGAAGGTCAATGGAATCTTATGTATACATTGTAATTAGTACAGTACCTAGTGAATACTTTATTGCTGGTAAAGTTTAGCCATATGGTATGAGATTGTAATGATTATGTTTCCTGCCATTTTCCAGGTATTTAAGCATTTAGTACTCTGAAAATTTGACGTATACCTTCACAATAAATGTGAAGCAGTAAGATATAACTGTAGTGGTTTATATCTATGAGAAAATATTCAATATTTGATCATTTATTTCTGAATGTTTTGGGCTATAAGATTCTTTTGGATAATTTTGTGTGTTTTTGCCATACACCTCAGATTTTCAATTCTAAACACACAATAAAGGATGTCTAATGCATACACATCTCAAATCCTCTATTGTTAACTTGATAAACTAATTTTCATGGGAAAAAATTACAACACACGTTATAATGTATGGTAAGTGTGGAAAACTCATGGAAAGAAGAAATCAGTAGAGAGGGACATAAACGACATTTGTTTCACAACCACCCAAAGACAACATTACTGTGCTTACATAGACAATGTCTGTATATTTGCAATTGAATATCACATGCAGTTTGAAATGTTTCAGACATAGGGAATATCTTTCTATCTAAAAACATTCATTTCCCTGCAGAATGTCATTTTCATTCATTAGGAGCTCAAGAAAACGAGTGATAACAAAACTAGTAACCTAGGGTAACTGTTTGTGGAATATGCCAGTTTACTAAAATGTCAATCTAAAGTTGTGGCAAATGGCATTTTAAAACAATAGAAACTAAAAATGGGATAATTTCTGTTGAATAAATTCAAATTATAACTGGAAACTCTATATTAATTTTGAGAAAAAAAGATAACTCAAGCATTGGTTTGGGACATGTTTTCTGATCACTGTGTGGAAGCCCACAAGTTTACCCTGTACTTGTCTTTGATGTATTTAACAGGACAATCATACTGTTTAGCTAGAAAGAATTCCTAAGGTTTTCCCAGGTTAGTGGCTGTCTTCAAAGCTTCTTGGGAGCCATCAGTCATTTTCTACACTAATTTGCTGCTCATACTCTACAGATCTTTATCTGTCAGCTATGCTGCTAATGATTGGATGGCTCTCCAACATCACTCTTGGTGATTTAAAGGAACCTTACATCTTCCACAAGACTGATAAATAGACTTTGCCAAAGGACTTACTAATATCATTGTCAGTATAAATTTGAAATACAACTAGAGTAGAGATATCTGAGACATCTGAAAAATCTATATGGGAATGAACCATAGCTTAAAGGTAGAGAATAAGGGAAGCTTGAATAAACACACTGGAGTTTCATTTTACAAATGATGAGTGTTAGTGAATTCTTTCTTCTTGTCACTTCCTATAGCTGTGTATCCATCTGCATACAATGATGTGACCTCCTCTACTAGGGATTTAGAATTCATTGATTATTGTTTGAAACTTAATTTCAAATCATTTTTCTTATTTTAAATATATTCTTATTAGACTATAATATTAAATTCCTATAAATAGAAAATCTCTATTTGTAAATATTTTCCAATAGGACATAGAGATAATGTAAATCCATTTTTATTGTATTGTTATTTTAATACTATACAAGTTAAAAACTTAAGAGGATATGAAGCTTGTGTTTCAAATTTATACAGGTTTGTTTCATATTACCTCAAATCTGTAACAATAAAACTCACCTATCATGAATATTTTAATTCAAAAATGCTAATTTAGCTACAGAAGAAACTATGATTTTAAAATTAGAATATCTAAATATATGTAGACTCTGCTTTAGTCTTAAATGTTAAATTCTCAAAGGAATTTTCCATAATCAACACATTTCCATTGATCAAATTGTGTTACTATCTCTGCATCCTATTTCTTTTGTTTTGATTATTATAATCTGCAAATGTATTTACTTTTACATTCTGATTATAGTATGTTTCTCTGTTAATCTAAAAACAATACAAGGACAGAGGGCGTGTGTAGTCTATCAGCAATATGTTTCCTAAAGTTAGCACAAGCCTTGTACATGGCAGGTGACTAAGCAGATCTTAAACAGATAGCTGAATGAATGAATGGTGAATGACTGTGTGATCTGAAAAATAATCACACTGTAATAGATTAAACTGTCTTACTTGAGAATGACTTTCCAGGTTTCTCTTGTTTTATCCTGCTGTATAATGACACCATCATCTATTCTAATGAAGTGTAACTGTTTAGTCCAGTCCCTGATATTAGTTGGAGGAGGTTGGATGGAAGCCCGATGCCAGGGAAAGTCAAGTACAGCAAATCCCAAGCTATCCTTGAAATCCCCAAGTTTCAACAAGAGGATGAAGGCTTCTATGAGTGCATCGCAGGTAACCTTCGAGGAAGAAACCTTGCAAAGGGTCAACTTGTTTTTTATGGTAAGTAAATAGAATTGCAAAATGTGTGATTTTTTTTTTTTTTTACTGTGCTTCAGAGAAAATAGGGGAAATCATTAACATAGAGTATACATATATCATGGGAAAAATCGGAAAGACACATTTCCAGTTGGATGATTTGTTTAATGATTAGCAGGTAGGGATAACTGTCTTTAAAATACAACTTTTTGTATTGATATCTAGTGGATAAAGTACTTGTGACACAAATATTAGGACCTGAATTCAAATTTCCATCAACCACATAAAAATCCATACATTGGATTATATACTTGTAATTCCCTGTCTGGAAAGATTAAACCATAGTCTTTCTGAGGAGAGTTTGCCAATTTAGCCAATCAATGAGCTCCAACTTCAGAGAGAATTGCTATGTCAAAAATAAGGTAGAGCAGGATTGATAAGGATATCCCCTTAACATCCATCTCTGCACTCCAGAAGTGTATTATGAACATGAACAAGCATACACATCTGCACATATGCATACAGCACACACAGAGAGACACACAATGGCATAAATTCCAGCACAGTCTATACATGACATTGTTTACTATAGTTGACTGAAGAATGTCAGCAATTTCATGTTAACAGCATTAAAGTTTGTAACACAAGGTATTCACGACTAAAATACATTTCCCATAGAATATTCAGAAGTAGCCTATGGCAATCATCATTAACATTCTGAATAGGATTTACAAACAAAAAGGAAAAGTGAATAGAAAAATACACTGAATGGCGGAATGCAATGCATTTCTTCTACTTTTTCAGTACATAGATGCTCATATGAATATGACAGAAAATTCAGTTCATTTCCTCATGATACACCTTTGCCATAGTTTCTAGAATATATTTGAGCTAAAGATACTTATGATACAATAAATGTATATATTATCCAAATATTGTCTTATGTCTTGTTTCATCCAGACCAAAATAACATTTTCGAATTGTTCTCTTTTTATTATTTTATTTGTATGGGTTTTTCTTCTGTGCACCACATTCACGCCTGTAGCCTAGGATACCAAAAGAAGGTGTCTGATTTCCCACTGTCATATAGGTGTTGGAACTCAAGCAAGGACCTTCTAGAAGAGCAGCCAGTACTCTTAACTGCTGCGTCATCTCTCCAGCATGACTAAACCTATAAAATAAATGAAGGAATTATCAAACTGTTTGGTATTTCTAAGATATAGAACTCCTAGAAACTGTATTGTTCATAACAAAAATATTTTCTACATATCCTGATACCATCACTAATAAAGTTATTAAAAAATAATGTTTGGATAATCTGAAAAGTTTTATATAATTATCCCTTAGCAGTAATAACTGAATATCTTGTGAGGAGAATCTATGTGCCTTTGGATATGTTACTTTCCATTTCATTTAGAATTTCCTATTTTAACCTGAAGTGAAAGTTGTTTCTTATAAATAGAATATAATTTCCTTTTTATTATTGTTCTACAATTTTATTGATGCTTGCCAAGAAAAGTAATTTGATTTTTCAGTAGAAGTTGATTCTTCAAGGACATTTTTGTCAGTCAGTATCTCTGGCAATGCATTAGTAAAGGAACAACTGATAGTTTTACCACACTAAAAATAATAAAGGTTTTGGCTCAGTTTTGATAAAAATATTTCATGTTTTTTAGATGATAGAAAAAGCTACAGCTAAGTGATGGATCAGAATACAAGTATCTATAGACTGAATTAACAATAAACTATTTTATTTTATATTCTATATATCTTTTAAGACCTGGAATTTTAAAAATGTTAACTCATAATTTCTAGAATAATCTTAGGCCTAAATAATTTTCAGTGATGTTACAGTTTGGACATGTCAGATTAGTTTAGCAAGATCTCACAGATATTGATATTAAAATTCAAGGTCAAAACTGTGAATAATCATGTAAACTTGGACTCTTCTAACTCTACCATAGTTTTTAACACAATGATCCAAGTCCATCTCACTAGGCAGCTTTTCAGTGGTTACTAACATTCCTTTTGGAAGAAAAATAAACAACTGATGAATTAGATAATAATTATGCATCATAGCCACATATTAATTTATGTAACACAAAATGAAGAAAAATCATCTTATGCCAGAGCTGAATAATATTTGAAAATCAAGAAGAGGTTTCCATTTTATTATATTGATAAGTTTAATTTACAACTCAAGAATAGTGTCATTGTATATCCTTCTATATTTTGCATTTTAACCTCTGAAATCAGCCTTAATGTATTTTATGATAATTACAGAGAATATAGTGCATATAAAAGAGTTAGTTGGAGTAGGGGAGAAATAACTAAAACTCAAGTTTGTATGATAAGCTCAATTTTCTTTTACCTTATTTCTTACATAGACAAAACATTTAAGACACCTTTCTCATTAAAATGCTGGGGATCCAATGAAAATGCACACTAAATAAATGAATATGTTTTAATGTTGTGATTATTACATTAAGCAATATGTATGTATGAATGTATGCAAGCATGTGCTATGTATGTATGTGTGCTGTATATTGAGGCTTGAGAAAAAGTTTATATTTAAGAGAATGTATGGCTGTTGCAGAGGACCTGGTTTTAATTTCTAGAACCTATATCAGGCAGGTCACAAGAGTCTGTCTGCAACTCCAGCTCCAGGTGGATCTGACACCTCTGGCTGCTGCAGGACATGCCCATTCCCCCACACAGACAGACAGACACACATCATCGTCATCATCATCATCATCTAAATATACATATAATGTATTTTTATGTATAATTTAACATGATAGTGATAAATCTTTCAAACTTAGATCTTAAGCCTTACAAGCTCTGAAGATCTTGTAAATGTAAATTTTCTTGGGTCAAACATGTATTTTCACATAAATATTTACAAACTGTTTTAGCACAGAGAAAGAAGGTTCAGTTTTTGTCAGTGCACTGGGTTCTCATAAACCTTGCTGTGGTTTGTTTCTCAAGGCTTCAGGAGATATGTTCTAAAATTGGAAATAGATCTGGCTTCCACAGGAGATAATCATAGGTTGAGCCTCATCACCCAGGGATACCATGACTCCTTCTATTTGGTGACCAGCTTCCTACAGAGCCTTAATGAAGGCATGTATCACAGTAGAGAAGCCTGGAATCAGCCACACGGGTTTTGTGGTATATAACATTTCAACTCCACATGGCCCCATTTCTTCCTGTATTTGCTGTAGTGAGTGCTGCACAACATCTTACAAGGCTAGGCTGAAAAAGTCTGGTATCAGGTGCATGCTAAGTACCTCGTTTTATGGTCCCACTTTTTTATTTCATTTTATTTTGCTTCTTCAACAGCTTACTCAGTACTATTGCATCCATAGACAGGGCGTGCAGCAGTTTATCCTTAGATGGCTGTAGGCAGGAACCAAGGAATACTTGTCTCCCTGCCTCTCTTGCTTTCCTTAGGTAGATCGTTCATGAAGATACATTAGAAGTTTGTTTAAAATTAAATAGCCCTTGTTGTTGGCTCAGTCAATAACTCCTTTTTCATTGACTTTATTTCTGTGCAAGCTGAAGAACCTTATCCTCAGAGTTCTCCATTGTAGTAACACTCACCAAAAAGGCAGCATTTTCCTCTGTTCAATGATTATAATTTGGCTGCTGAATTTTTAAAGTATCTTGAAAGGGTTAGCTGACATCTCTGTAAACATATAGAGGCATTGGACCCTGCAAAAGCCCAAGTTACAGGCAGTTGTGAGCTCATGGTGTGGGTTCTGGGGATCTAAACCAAATTAAATGCAAAAGTGTCAAACATCTACTTAGACTTGTCCACAGATTCCAAGGAAAGGCAGAAACTCCCCATTCCACAAGGATACAAGGACAGCACTAAAGGAGTCAAGAGATCAGCAACTGTGTGCAGGTTTCAAGTACCCATAACATAAAGAATATTCATATTAATACATTTAATTTACACCCCAGCTTTCTTCTTGAATGACAGTAAGACTAACAACTCCTTCCTTTCACATTTGATACACCAGTTGCTTTTTGCTTACTACTGTGCAGTGCTTTCTTAGATCAGACTATGAAGTTTGTAAAACTCCATGTGTGGATTTCAAGTTAAATATCTCACTCTACCACAAACTCCCAAAGTCTGCATTCCTCCTCAAGAACCCAAAGGATATTGGATTATGTTATAAAAAAAATGGAGGCTCTCATTTATGTTTTGTCAAGGTATTGGGCTGGATTATCTGGTTTACATACATTTACTTTTTTGTTAGCTTTAAATATATAGAGAAAATTTGCCCTCAAAGTGTTTAGATTGAGTCTTTACATCTCAGTTGACTTATGTGCTGTGATTTAACATGGCAATATACTTCAGCTGTCTTCTGAATTTTGACCTTTACTCAGAATTTACAAGTTGCTGCACAGGTGCAGCAAAATGACAGACAGCAACCTTTAGCTCGAGCCAAATACGGGGTGATAATTGTGACGTTGCCCTGCTAGACTCTGGTTGTCCCCTCCCGTTCTGTCCTCCCCTCAATACCTCACATGTTGGAATGGCAGTTCACCTGGATCCAGTTAATTCCCTGATCACTAAGAATGTGAAACATACTGTATTACCTTGATTGAATTGCCAACAAGATATTATTGATCTGCTTTTTTTTTTTTAAATAGCCCCTCCAGAATGGGAACAGAAAATCCAAAATACATACCTTTCAATCTATGACAGCTTGTTTTGGGAATGCAAAGCTAGTGGAAAGCCAAATCCTTGGTACACATGGCTAAAAAATGGTGAACGCCTCAACCCGGAGGTAAGGAAGTATGTGTTAGAAATTCCTTCCCTTACAAGTACATTTGGGTCAAATAATAGTCATTCTCAGTAGTAGCTCATGTCTTTGGAGTATTCAGTGTACTCTAGGGAAGGAAACTTTACATTTATGTAATTCTTACACAAACTCAAAGGAAGAAAAGAGATTTGGGACTGAAAACTTGGACACAGTCATACTAACAGTTATGAATCCACATTCAGATGTCATTAGCACATGTTCAGGTAGCAGTAACTGGATTCAGTGGGAAAATTAAAAAAAAAAGAAAAAAAGAAGAAGAAAAGAAAGAGAATAAAAAAGAAGAGAACATGAAGTTGGGAGGAGATTTTGGTGATGGATATAGGGGAAGTGCAGTGTGGAACTATGGGGGCATAATCAAAAGACTTTATAGAATTATGAATTATCAAGGATAAATAAAATATTCTAAACAGTAACAAATTAAAAAGATTGCATCATCAGCAAAGCTAACACTTGATGCGCTCTCCTGTGGGTCAAGTCTCATACTCTGTTTTTTTTTTTTTTTCTGTACATTGCTTTATCCTCAAGATAATGTAGGAGAGATAGATAGTGATCATTCCTTTAGATATATGAAGAAATGTATTTCAGAGAGGCTGAAACACTTGTCCAACATTGTTCAACAGCTACTAAAGTTAAAATTGACTTTCAGAACTGTCCCTGTGGGTACCATTCCAGATGAGGAACACAGAGAAAGGAAACTATTTTCCAAAGTTACAGAGCAGTGAGTAAATGATATAGTGTGCTGAATTTTGTCTCATAGAAGGACTCAGAATCTGAGTTGATACCCACTCTCCTGCTTCTAGGAAATATGATGACTGTCCCTACTCCCATAAAAAGATCTGAGTTTTTGTACACATTTTAAATATAAACATATTTTCTCTTAGAATGCCTATCCCCTGAGAGAACTTTACCCCTATCAAATTTTCTCCAAATAATCATGTTAATATTGCATTTTATTTTGCACATGTAGCCATAGTCAGAGTCATAAAGAATATGTTATTTGGAAGGAAAAACAATGTTTGGTGTGTCTTTGGTTCAGTGTAATGTTCTTCCAGGATGCCTTTGGAATGCTTTCTCTTTTTCTTTGTTTTCTCTAACCTACTTACATTATCCTTAGAGACCAGTAGCAGATTCATTGAAATGTTTAGCTTAGGTTAGATTTTTATTATTAACTACTTTACTTTCTGCACACAAAATTGTATTTCAGTACCCTAAACGACTCCTTGTAGCAGATGATTGATACTGACTCAGGTGGTCTTTAGAGGAGGCTACAGAAAGAAACGCTGTGGCTTCTCTAACTTAGAACTCAGGCAACACATTGTAAAGTAATCACATTCCAGGATCGTGGAACTTTCTAAATTATTTTGAATCTCATAGAATAGGCAGTTTCATGTATTCTGTTCAGAGGATGCCAGTTTTCAAAGAAATGATATAGCACAGATTATTCCATCCACCCCCCAAATTATTCCACAAAAAATTATACTTCACACATTTTTTTTTTTAATTTTAGAAAGCCACTCAGGACCTTGCAGGGAAAGTTGTCAGTGACAGATACAAATGTTCATTAATATATTTTGTTCATGAGAATGCTTACATTAACAATGAAACACCTTTTATATTAATGCAAAACATCTTTTGATGGCTATTCATTTATTAGGAGAGAATTCAGATTGAAAATGGGACTCTTATCATCACCATGCTGAATGTGTCGGATTCTGGGATCTACCAATGTGCTGCAGAAAATAAATATCAGACAATTTATGCAAATGCTGAATTGAGAGTGTTAGGTGAGCTATTCATTTATAACCAAGAAATTTGAAATGAAACCTTTACATGCTATTATTTATACATCATCTGACCTGATTTTTTTCCTGTGAACTAGAAATTACTTTCCCTAGAAACAATGAGAAACATCTCAATTAGCTTTTTATAACATAAAAGGTTTTAATTATTTTCTAGTTTAGCAATGCATTAAGATCCCATCATTAGTTGTGTGCCAAATTCAAAAGGGTTTTAATCAACTAACTAGATTCTAGCAGGTGGTCTTGAATACAAAACAATGGGATCCAATAGGAATATTTTCAGCTACAAATATGAGCATGAGAATTATTTTCAACCACACTGGCATAAGAAAAGCAAGTGACAATTTATAGAGACTTAAGACATGGTGACCCGCTTTATCTCCATTAAGGTGTGCACTGGCTATCAAGTATGACACTGCAGCTGGGCTGTTATACTGAGAACCTTTTCCTGCAGATGTGTAAATGTGCGGGTTCAAGATGACTGGTGGAGTTGCAGACGTCAAGTTCGTATTCAGGGCAGAAGTAAAGGGAGAAGACAGATCCTCCCATATCTGTCCCTTATTTAAAAAAGAACAATTCCTTAAGCTTCCCTTCATTTACTTAACTAGAATTTTTGTCATATTGTTATGCACATACTGAAGTAAGTACAGAATAAGGAAAACAGTCCTTAGGGTGGAAAGTATTAAGGTTGGAACAGTGTGAGATTGAAATCACATGAAATTGAAGCAGTGGTGTCTGCTGCAATAAATGAGTGTGATGTATTTTTACCCAAGAGTTGATTAGTGATAGGAAGAATGGCGGAAACAGGAAGAATGAAGTAAGAGATCAAATATTATAGGCTTTTGGATGCCAGGCATCTTGTTCATTCTTTAATCAGTACTATTTCACTGAACATTTATTATATCCCAGGCTCCAAGAATAAAAATACTCAAGTGAGAGTGACCTTCACTGAACTTACAATTTAACTGAGAAAATAGCCACATTTAAAAGTTGGCTATCCGTATGGTCAAGAACTGAACTGTTGGTGTCCAAACACAAGGCAAGCCAAATAGAAACTTAATTGAGAACACTCTTTTCAATCTGGGACACAAAGGCAAGTTGCATGGGCCAGATGAAGGCAGAGAAGCAATTCCTAAAAAAGCCAAGAAGTCAGATAGCCTGACATATCTGAAAACTTCAGTTCATTTGGACTTTAGAAATTGAGCTTAGATACACAGATCCAGCTTGTAGGAACATGAAAGGCTTGGGTGCTTCCCAAGCCTTCTGCTTGTTCTTTTTTCACTGAACTATTATTTATCCAACTGGGTAGAATGAGACTAACAAGTGTGAGGTTTTTAAATTGCACTTAGCTGATCTACCTCTGTTGAAGACCCATTGTATTTCGCCACCTTAAATATTCTAGAAGAAATTGGACCTAGTGATAAAATACCTGTGATTTGCCTCAGTGGCATAAACCATGTACAAACATATGTATATACATGTTTTTATTCATTTGTATGTATATGTTGTGTGATTGTGTATGTGTGTGCAAGTGTGTGTGTGAGTCTGTGTATGCTTAAATTGGCCTTAAGATGACTTGAGTATATTACCTTTAATTTTGAATACAAATGTTGAATTTTATATGGTATATTGGTTTAATCTTAAGTTACTGCATGTTAATTGAGTGATTTAATGATTCAATTTTTAATTTTGTTTTCTAGCCTCAGCTCCAGATTTTTCCAAAAAACCCATTAAAAAAATTTCAGTTGTTCAAGTAGGTGGTGACATTTCTATTGAATGCAAACCAAATGCCTTCCCTAAAGCATCAATTTCTTGGAAAAGAGGAACAGAGAATCTAAGGCAAAGTAAAAGGTAAAACATCCTTACTTTATAAGTCCATTTTTGTGTCTTATAATGTACCATCCCCCAAACCCTGCTTTTTCTTCTCTGATGAATCTTCAGTGGAGTACCCCGAGATGTCAACAATTTCACATCCTATATAAACATAAGTAGCTATAAAGCTAAAGCCTGTTTGTGTAATTTGGCTGCAATATTTTCATTGCACACACTTATAATAGAGTTATATTTTTAAAATCCTTTAAGACCTTCTTCTATATTCAGTTTGAGGGCTTTCCTGACCCAGCCTGCTGAGAAATCAGTGAGAACATTATACAAAGGCAAGAGACACTCCTATGCACACACCTGGTGATATGGTTTTTAAATAGTCACACAGGTGTTCACCCCATGACTAAATGAATTCACCACATGACAAAAAATGTGGAGAGTTTTCCTGTCGAGAAGCCAGAGAGGTTTCCTTCCAGAATGGATGCAGGTGAGAAATCTGAAGTCATCACTTGAATGTTTTCTAGGACAGTGCAGCAAAACAGAAAGAATACTTACTTTTTTTTCCAAACATATAACACATTTTATTACATTGCTCTATAGATCCTTGTGTATAGAAAGGATGGTCAGACTGAAATTGGCAGCTCTATTTGAATGACCTCTCTGTGTTAAGAATGGACCATTGTGCATACATGAGTTCACAGAGCTTTTTTAACATCAAATGTAGCAGTGACCCTCATCTGGCAAGACAGGGCACATGAAAGGTAGAAGTAAAATGTAATGAAAATGAATGAAACACAGCCAAGGGGATGAATGACTGAGAAATAATACAAGGCTTATTTGGGGCAGGGGCTACAGAGGAGGTCTCTGTAACTCAGAGCCTGCTGCCTGCTTTCGAAATCAGATACAGGACAGGAAGGGGTAGGTGAATTTGAAAAGTTTCCTTTGTTGTCCACAGTTGGATATTGGTTGGGGTTAGCAGTAAGTAGTCAATTAAAGAATGTCAGGTGACAGGTAAACATCTTTATTGAATGGCCTTTACTTGGGGTCCACATGGCAGGAAAGGCAAAAATCAGAACGAGAACACTAGTCAGGAAAGATTACTGTAGTTAAGGGAATTGTTACAACTCAGCTAAAATGGAGGAGCCTTTACCAAATAGCTGGGCCTAGGTTAATATGGCAATGGATAGTTTTGGAGAAAAGGACCCAAAAGACTGGTGTGTGAGCTGTCACTTCACGTTAACCCTCACAACTTGATTTCAGACACGTCTTGCTTCCTGCAAAGGTAGATTCACTGTGTAACATATCCAATATTGCAGGAAAAACTAGAAATATGGATTTTCACAAAGGACCTCTGAAGCTAGAGAAAAGAACCTCCATAGGCTAGATGCGAGGACCCTGATTTGATGTTAGCAGTCCTAGTATTGCCCTTGTAGCCAGGGAAGAGAATAAAAAGGAAATAACAACAAAAATCAGATTGGCATTGGTACTGATGGCTTCCTGCCTCTATCTGCTGTCCTGTAGACATCTCCAAATATCTGATGGAGTGTTTGAGAGGAAGCATCCTAGTGCCTTTGTCCATTCCTTAGTCTTGCCTTTATAAAAAGTTTTCATATCCCTGTTTAAAGACTTCCTAAAATAGAAACCCCCTTAAATTTTGAATGAATGAGTCAGAATAGATGGATGAGTAGGGTATTGGAGTCTTTGAGAGAGGCTTTACTTAGGGAAATGCCTCAAGACAAAGGGACAGGTGTGTCAGCATAAGGGAATAAGAAGGTGAAGGGAACCGGCTGCCAGAGCTCAGACTGGTCCCTTCTGGGAGGTCACTGCAGGTGTTCTCTGCTGAACATCATACAGTTGCTTTCCATGTATTTTATCTTTCATCCCTAAAATTGAATCAAACTTTAAACATGCTGATGTGGAAGAATATTCCAGATATCACATGCCATCATAAAGTGGATCTAGACGGTATGTATACTCTACTATACTGATCAACTCTGCTGTGTTGGATGACGTGGTTCTGAAGTGTGAACCAAAGAGCAGGAGGAGATGCCAGTGACCTTTCATGACCTTAAAATGCTCAAACACAAGGTGTGTGAGGAGGAGAAGGAAGAGCAGCTGGGAAACTGTGAGAAAGTTGGGGGAGGGGATTGAGGTGAAAGAAAATCCAGAAAGCATAAGGAATATTATATTTTCAGACATTTGTTTTTGTTTTTATTTCACTTGCCCCAGATAGAATTAGTGTCAGCCTCAGAGCAGTTACTAATGGCCATAGCATATTCAAGCTCACCTTACTGTGATGAAAGGAATGGTCTTGTGGCCTCTTAACCTAAAGAGAGTCTTCATTATAACATCTTCCTCTAGTTTGGGGATTTCATTACACATTTAACAATAGAAAGCAAACAAATTAAGTTCTGAATGTGTAGTCTAAAAAAACTGAAGAAATAATTGAGCCCTAGCAGGATGTAGCAATTACAGGCATCTGTGTTTACCTGATATGGTGAGTATGAAACAGTAATTTGTAAAGGGCATGGGGCAAGCTACATGAGACATCATATCTCTGCAGGCTTTCTGCCCTGTTTCCTCATCTATTGCCTTCTGTCTTCACTGGTTTCATTAAGCGTGTGACTTCAAGCTGCTTACTGGAAAATACATCATCTATGCTTGTAGCAGTATTTTTTTTGGTTGGGACCACTAGCCAGCAAATTATGACATGGAGACTTATTATTAATTATGAAAGCTTGGCCATAAGGTTAGGCTTGTCCAAGTAGCTCTTATAACTTAAATATACCTGCTTTTATTAATTTACATTCTTCCACATTGCTCAGCTACCTCTGCTCTGTACCGTGTCTCCTAGGGGTCTGGATTGTAATGCATAGATTCCTCCTCCTCTTCCTCTCTCTCCTCAGAAATTCTGCCTATCCTCTCCTGTCTCACTATTGGTCATTCAGCTCTTTATTATACCAGTCACAGCAATGTATCTTCAAACAGTATACAAATATATCACAACATTTCCCCCTTTTTTTTCTAAATAAAAAGGAAAGGTTTTAACTCTAACATAGTAAAACTATATACAATAAGAGCAATTATCAAGTAAAAATTACACTCACTATATTCAGTCCAATTGTATTTGGCAAATTTGGAGAAAGTACTGTACTATCTATCTATCTTAGTGAGTCCAAACTTTTATACCAAAACCACTTTTTATCATAACTTGTATTACCATCCTGAAACTATCTTTTTAGATCTTAAAATACCTTTTTAGATAAACAACTTAAGATTTTGTTTATCAACCTCATAAACTTTATATCTCTTATGTAAGTTTTTTTTTCTGACTTTGGTAACAAGGAAAACTGCAACCATAACTATCTATTTTCATCCCCATCAAAAACCCCATTAAATAGAATAATATAATAGTACCTGTGTATACACCAAGTTCAGAGCAAACAACTTCCAAAACTATAGAAATGACAGATAGCTGGCTGCCTGGACAGTCACCAATGTTCCTCTGCAAAGTTGGTGCATTCATCTTTGGCCTACAGTCCTAGAATATCTGACAGACTTTTATATGAAGCAGGAATTTTGAAAAATTGCTTATATTGTCTTGGCAGTTTGTCAGTCCCTTCTTTTGTGTCTTGCTCCTCCAATTTGGACAGCATATTGTCAACAATCAAGGCAAGGGTACTTTCTTCCCCAGATGGCTAGTTTAGCCACATTGAAAGCAAACTCCATATGTAGGTTATTTGATGCCCATCATCCCTTTTTGAAGTAAATTGGTGCTGCCAAGAGCAGACATGTTTCACTCTCATGAGAAGTCTTATGCTATTAAAACATCTTAAATGCCATATTCTGTAGGTCTCTGAAGTGTTTGAAGACCATCTGGCTATCTAAAATATTTTTCTGTTTGACCTTAAAAACATACCTACATGACTACAAGTTTGATTATTATAGATGACTAACTACTAACATACATATCTTAATTTCACTAAACAGTTTGTAATAATAGTCTTTAAGGACTAGAACTTTACATCACATTTTAAATGAGCCGCATAGGTACAATACCTTAAACAAGAGTAGAAACATATATACACTATTTGTAACAAAAATAATTTTATATCAATATACAAAGATCATACCAATGTAAAATATTTGAGACTAATAGTTGTTTTTTAGTTTAAACACAGATTCAATAATCTACCATTTTGTCCTATCATTTTTATATTACCTCCCTCCAGTTTCTTTTCAGAAAGAGATCCTTGAATCCAATCTCTTTTGTTTAGTTTCTTTTTTTTCTGACCATGACCAGTAGCAACATGAAACTAATCCCTACTAAACAATGACACACATCCACTGAATGACCAGAAACCACCTACCTCACATTAGGAATGGGAGCATCATGTTCTCTAGATTGCTTCCTGTTATCTGGGGGCAGTGACATTTTTAAAGGATCCTGAAAAAATGGGGATCAAGTCCTGGGAGAGGTAGCTGTATTTTTTTTTGTTTAGTCCCTTGTGTGATAAGAAACTGTAGAGCTTGTCAGAAGTCCTGGCTTGAGTAGTCTGTGAGGCTAGGCCATCTCAACTAGCAGCTTTGAAGTTGTTCTGGATAAAGAATTTTGAGAAAACTGCAACAGAGTCATTCTGAGAGGCTGGATCCCCTGTGCTTCCTGTTTTCATGGGTATCTGTTCCTTTTGTCCTGAAAACACATAAACTTTTAAAGGTAATATACATATCTGCATTAACATAAGTATCAAATGTACAGTGTGCACAAGTCAGCTAAACATGATTTTCTGTTTTCTGTTTGATCATGTAAAAAGCATCTGTCAACTTTTTAAGTCAATTTTGGTTGTAAAACCAAACTGTAATATGTATCTCCATCCACGGGATAGATGGAGAGTAGGGGTCAGCTGATCATTTCTCCATTGCTCTGTGGAACTTTCAGGTTTAACTCCAATATCTGACTCCTGAGATTTTATTAATAATAGAATAATTTAGATAATTACTACATATGATGTCATTTATATTGGCTT